GAGGCCTTTCAACAGTTTCACATCCAGCTGCCTGAGGATCTCACCAGTCAGAGGACACACCTGGGCCACCAGCAGAGAGAAGGGTCAGGCCCAGGGCTGGGGAAGGAACACTGGGGTCCTGTGGAGTGCCACCCCCACTGGGTTTCCAGCCAGAACCATGGCACACGAGGCTCCATGGGGCCCATCAGTGCTTTGAACCCCCAGGTCTTATGACAGCTCTGTGAGGTAGGACTATGCTGGTCCCCTTGCTGGACAGGGACACTGGGGCCCAGGAGGCCCTGTTCCTTGCCCGAGGATGCACTGGCTAAACTGAAAATTTCATTGAGATTTTTCAGTTTTAGTGTCCAAGGTTCAGAATGCTCTGCTCAGTTGCTCACGTATCTGTCCGACTCTCAGACTCAGGAGGCCCAGGGGCAAATATGTTTCTCAGACTCACCTGACTTTCTACCAGGTGTGGGATAATTTTTTCCAGGTTCTCTTTGAGGCTGTGCAGAAAATGTTTCATCCTGGGTGGGATGGCCCTAGAAAGAGAGGGAGACACCAAAACAGATCAGATCAATCTGGCAGCACCCACGCCAACTGCTATGTGGTGAGGACACTTTACAGACTTTCAATCCTCTCTGGTCCTATGTAAGAACTATTATTGTCAGCAATAGCCCAAGGGGAACTCAGAGAGGCTATGTGACTTGCCTAAGGTCACACAGCAGGAAAGTGCAAATTCTGTTAGAACCATATCAGAAGAGCACCCAGAGTTCCTGGTCTTTCTCCACACTGTCCTCTTAGGAATGCCTGGCATAATCTAGATATTCAGTGAAGAAAGGAGCAGACATTCATTGAGTTCTTAATTGTTCAGCTTTCGGGAATTTCAGAGATAAATCATCCCACATCTTGTCCTCAGGGGACAGTCTATTGAGGATGGAAGACTTCTGCATTGAGCTTCATGAAGCTCTAATTTTTGTCATCTTTGCCCCTGTGCCCCTGGGTATTAGGCATGGTACCTGGAACATTATGGATTCTTGAGCAATATATAGGAATGAAAGAGCGATTGTGGGAGGGGGGTGCTTTAGAGAAGACAGATAAGGCCTTTGAGGCTGCCGGGTCGGCATGTGCAAAGGCACGGTGGTATGAAGATGTGTGGTGTGTTGTGGAGGAGCAGGGCCTTTTGAGAGCCTGGAGGGTGGGGTGGGGGGGCTACAGAATCAGGCAGGGGCGAGGACAGGTGGGGCTTGAGTGAGTCTGGGGGTTTGCTCTCCATCCCGAGGGTGGTGGAGAGCCACGGCAGGTTTTGGAGCACTGGCTGGGCTTCTGATCAGATTTCAGGGTTACAAAGTTCCTCCTGGTGAAGGGGGCAGAGGAGGCGAGGAACCAGTCTGGACCAGTGGGAGGCAGAGCCTGCTCTGAGGGGGTGGCCGAGATGTCACTGCACAGGGACTCAGGAGGAGGCAGGGAAGGGAGGTGTGCAGCTGGGCCTCACTCGGTGAGGACTGTGGTGTGGAGGCTGCCGGGCTCCATGAGGCACTCACCCATCACCAGGTCCCTCCGGCCGAACTGGTCCTTCTGTAGCCAGAATTCCACAGCGAGGCTCATGTGCTCGTGAGTCTTCATGATGTTGTTGTTGAAGGGCCTGAGGGCAGGAGAGAGGGGGCAGGGGACAGGGGGCAGGGGAGAGGGAGCAGGAGACAGGGCGAGGGTGTTGGGGGAGCTGGAGCAGCCCGCAGGCACTCTCTTTGGGGGAGACGGGCACTGTCCACCGCCAGCGCTTCCCCTGTCCCCCCCCCAGTCCTTCCACCAAACCCCAGTTAAATCCTGGGGCCAGTGATCAAGAGGAAATTGGCTCTTAGCCAGTGACTTCTGCCCCTAGTGTTGGTGCTGGGGACACACCCAGGGCCTCAGCATGCTGGACACGGCTTCCCCAGGGAGCTACGTTCCTAGCCCCAGTGACTCCCCTGAGCAGACCAGGTAGGAGCCTTTGCAATTCAAAGTTGCAAAAGTTCATCTCCATTTTAAAACCCTTTCCCACTTAGCTTGGGCCTCCCTTTCCCCGGGGCAGTGGATGTTACGGGAGGATGGCAAGGGAGGAAGAGGTGGCAACCAAGCGGCCTTCCTCTCTCATTCACCAACCCGGTGGTGAACTCACGTCGGTTTAAATGAGCAGATGACCTGCCTCCACCGATAACGATTATCATTTCAGTGGAAACAAACTAAGGCTCAGAGTGATGGGGTGACTCGCCCAAAGTCACACAGTAAGTGTGTTCAGAAGCTGGATTGGAATTCACGTCAGAACCATCTGGATTTCCTAGGCTGCCCATTCCCTCTCCTCCCAGCTCCCAGGTCCCCAGTGAGGAGGACCAGCACCTGGCAGGTGCCATTCTGGAGGACTCACAGTCTCAAATCGATGTCGAATTCAAGCGAGATGTTTGCTGAGAACCACTCTTTATGGAAATGTATCTGGATCCCACCACAGTCCAGCTGAACGTTGGTGATGTTGATGCTGCACCGGTCAAGAGCAAGATCCGCGAGGGTGAGGCCCCAGAACAGGCAGAGCCCTGTCCTATCTGCCCGGGTTCGGAGTCAGCTCCTGTCATAGACGCTCTGAGGGCCGGAGCCGGGTGCAGGGGCCCTGTTCCCAGGGCGCCCTGAGCAGCCCCGTACGGGTTAGGTTGGGGCGACCCCGGGCACAGCTGCAGTGCAAGACCCTGGTTCTGTTCTCGGACGATGCCTGCCCTCTTGGAAGATGGCCCCACCACTCTGCCTGGGAGCCCGAACTCTCACTGTCCTCCACCCCTCGCCCCACATTCCACCCACCCTAATCACGTTGGCTGTTTTCGCAAAATATGTCCTGAGTTTGGCTACTCGTGTTGCTCTCACGAGGTTAGTTCACCTCCTCCTGAAGTGGCTTCTGTTCCTCCCTGGGCTCCCCTCCACCATCTTGGCCCCTCTGAGGACTGTTCTCCACGAGGAGTTGAAGGGGGCCTCATGCTCCCCACTAACCAAGGGCTTCTCGCTGCTCTTGGAACAAAGTTCGAACTCCACCTCGGACCCCAAGACCTGCGGGGCCTGGCCCTCCCTGCCCCACAGCCTCCTCTCCTCCACCCACACAGGACACTCCTCGAGCACCCCCGTCTCTTTCTACCCCATGGCCTCTGCGGCTACTGCCTGCTCTGCCACGTCCGTCCCCATGTCCCCAGCTCCCCTTCTCTCCATTCAGGTTTCTGCTCAAGGGCTTCAGAACAGTCTCCTGGGTCCGTTCCCTCGAGTGCCTCTCGCCCTGCTCTGTGCATCTTCATAACGTGACTGTCTACCTGACATTAGTGACTTACATTCAGTAGCCTGTGTCACTAACAAGGATGCAAGACCCCAAACAGCGGTGACCACACATCTGTTCTGTAGCTGCTTTCCCAGAACTCAGCCCAAGTCCCCGGATGTAGTAGCTGCCCAGTGAACCAGTATAGCATCAGTTAAAGGAATGAATGAAGGGAGGGGATCGTGGCCACCTGTACCATACGGAAGCCCTGCTGGTAACTGTTGGTGCCCATTAAAATGGAGAGAGTAAGTCCGAGGGAAGGGGCTGGAGGGCAGAGCCAACTGCCCAGTGGTATTGCTGGTGAGCAGCCCTGAGATGTGGGAAAGGCGGAGCCCGCTTCTTGGGCTGGGGGGTGGGGGTTGCCTATGGGTGTGAGCGGACAGGTCCAGTTCTGCAAGGTGAACTTTAGCAACTAAGGACTGTGTATCAGCCGCGTGCACCAGAGCAGTGAAATGCATGCTTTGCAGAAGCTCCCAACGTATCCTGGGGCAGGGACAATTATGGTTCCCATTTTACTGATTCAAGGCTGAAGCTCAGAGCAGGCAACAGCTTTGCCCAGAACCACACAGCTGTCAAGCAGTGGAGGGGGGCTCAAAGGCCTGACCTAGACCTGACCTCCTTGGACAGCCCAGGTGGTCGCCCAGGCTGGCCCTGGGTCCCCGTTTTGTAGATGGGTCCAGAAGGGCCAGGCAACTTCCCCAAGGTTGGTGACAGAGCCAGGATTTCAATGCAGACACTTTAACCCCGAGCTGTCATTGTGAGTCACCCTGCTCTGCCACCTCCCCAAACAGTCCCTTGCATTGGGTCCCCATCTGTCCTTGTCCTGGGCTTCGGCCTGCTGCCTTCTCTTCTGTGCCTCTCACAGGCCTGCCACCACGTCCTCCCGTCTGCCCTCTGACTCCGAGCTCCATAACGAGTCCCAAGGCCGCGGGGGCCTCAGGCCTCACCTGATCTCGTACTGCTGCTGGATGTTCATGCCGCCGATCAGCCAGCCCACCATCCCGGGGGCCATCCTCCCCGAGACGTTCAGACTGTCCAAGAGGTGGATGTTCTGGATTCGGTCCTCTGCGTTGTGATTCATGAGGCCCTGGGCAATAACTGGAAAAGGACAAGGACCAGTGACATTGCACAGTGCTGTGGAAGAGAGTGGGGCCGGGGGGGTCAGGAGGCCTGGGCCGCAGGCTGGGGCGGCCTCTTCCTCTGAGTGGCTGGTCCAGGCCACCCACATTCCCTATCTGTGAAGTTACGCTTTTCAAGATTGAGGTGAGACCCAAAGTCAGACGCTGTGGGGGTCCAGCGGGTGTGGGCCGTGCGGGGGAGACCTTCAGGGTGACAGCGGGAGCTCACCGCAGGACACGCCCATCACCCACAGGCTCCACCCACCACGGGGTCCCACTGAGAGAACCCTGGGTCACCACAGAGCAGCAGCTGTCCCTACCCCCTCCTCCAGGGCCAGCTCCAGGGGTCCTTCCAGGACCCCTCTGTCAGAGATCTGGGTTCAAATCCTGGCTCTGTCACTTCCCTGAGTCTTGGTTTGCTTGTCTGTGTGATAAATGAAGGAAAAACCTCGGCCTCCCAGGGTCCTGGTGAGGAGGACAGAGACCCTCACCGGCCCCTGGCCCAGCAAGTATTCACTGAGCATCTCCTGGGTGTGGGTCCCTGAGCTGGGCACCAGGGACACAAACCAGTTTTCTGTCCAGTCAGAGAGACACACTAACAAAGAGTTTCAAGGAGAGTGCCGCTGTAGGGAAGCCTGCCCTCTCAGCAGTGCTTGTTGATGGCCAGTGGCTGTCAGCCCAGTCTGCCTCCTCCCCTCCCCCCCCCCCTCCCTCCCTTCCTTCCTTCCCTCCCGATCCATCCATCCACCTTCTAACCTACCTAGCATCCTGTTCATCCCCCCTCCTCCCACTTATCCTACTGTCCATCCATCCTGTCCTTCCATCTCAGTCCTGATTCGTTTCGGACACACTCTCCAATTTCTGATCCAGATATTGATTATCTGAGTCGTCATCGCGTGACACTCACCCTTAGGTTCAAACTGGCATGTGACCCAGACTCACATGAGGTCTCACGGCCCCCGTTCAGGAGGAGGGGTCCGTTCCCCTTCTCCTGTTGGAGAGGAGCGAGCAGCCCACGGCTCCCATGGCCACTGGCCACCATTTTCTACCACGCTGGGAACCAGCCTGGGGATGAGACCACACGTCGCAGAGCTGAGGAGGGGGCAGGATCCAACCAGACGGAAGCTCTGGGCCGCTGGTCCAGCCGAGCCCGGAGCTCGTACCACCTGAACTTGAGTTTTGTGAAATAACTTTCTTTTTTTTTCACTGTTTACGCCAGGTTGAGCTGCATTTTCTGCTGTTCCCAGCTACATCCCTGACAGGGACCCTGGAAGGTGAGGACAGTGAGCCACACGTTCACGCTGGAGAAGCACGTTGCACACACTCTCCTCAAGCCTCAAGAACAGCCTTGCACACCAGCATTCTAACCACACCCATTGTACAGATGAGGACGCCCGGACCCACAAACACACACCAGTATATTTGATGGCCTAAGAGAAACAGAGACCTTTATGGCAAGTCGTAAAATGCCCAGTTTTGATGAGGGGAAATGGAGAGCATCCATAATCCAAGAAACCCTAAGATTTTTTTTTTTTTTTTGTATCAGGGATTGAACCCAGGGGCATCTACCCACTGAGCCACATCCCCGGCCCATCTGTTTTTTTTTTTTTTTTTTTTTTTTGAGACAGGGTTTCACTAAGTTGCTCACTAAATTACGGAGCCTGGCTTTGAACTCGCCATCCTCCTGCCTCGGCCTCCTGAACTTCTGGGATTACAGGCGTGTGCCATCGCACACAGCAAGGAATTTCTGTTTTTTTCTGGCAAGGAATTTCTGAAGGAATAGAAACAATGGTTGAATTTCTCATTTCACAAAAGCTTCTTGCCCACATGGTTGTATGGAAGAGTTCAAACAATTTTTTTTCCGTTGAAATAAAGACAGAAATTTTTAAAAAGAGAAAGACACCAAATTCATTCAATGAGGCTAGTATAACTTGTCTAGCCTCAAGGACAGTAGAAAGAAAAAATTGCAAAATAGTTTTACATATGAAAAATGCACTTAAATCCTAATTAAAGACTGGGAAGGAGAAGGATGAGGAGGGGAAGAAGTTAAACAGGGAGCATCAGAACACGGGTAGGAGGAATTAATTCTGGCTTTCTATAGCCTAGTAAGATAAATATGGGTTACAGCAATCTATATTTCAAAATACTAAAAAAAGTATGAAGATTCCCAACATATAGAAGTTATAAATGATTGAGGAGATGGGAAGTGTTTATTACCCCGATTTTATCATTACACTTTATATACATATATTGCATTATTGTACTATTCCCTATAACTGTGTACAAATACATATGTCAGTCAAACATTTTAATAAATGGATTTCTACTCTAAAGAAAAAGAAAAAAAGAAAATTTTGCTAAAATCCTAAAAATCCTATTAGGCAATAAAATCTAACTGTACTTTGTAATTTATTTCAGAATGGCTGGGATGATTCAGCAGCAGAAAATTGATTAATGCAATTTATCATTTAACAGGTTAGAGGGAAAACTGATTAACTATCAGATGCAGAAAGACATTTGTTAAATATCAAGACTGACATGATTAAGAAAAATTCATAAAACTAGGAATTTAAGGCTGGGGTTGTGGCTCAGTGGTAGAGCGCTCGCCTTGCACGTGCGATATCCTGGGTTCCATCCTCAGCACCACATAAAAATAAATAAGTGAAATAAAGGTATTGTGTCCAACTACAACTAAAAAATAGATATTTAAACAAAAATTAGGAATTTAAGAAACTGTCTTAATGCAATAAAATTTTTATTCCAGCCGGGCGCGATGGTGCCCACCTGCAATCCCAGCGGCTTAGGAGGCTGAGGCAGGAGTTCAAAGCCAGCCTTAGTAACAGCAAAGCGCTAAGCACCTCAGTGAGACCCTGTCTCTAAATAAAATACAAAATAGGGCTGGGGAGGCTCAGTCGTTGACTGCCCCTGAGTTCAATCCCTGGTACCCCCACCCCCAAATTTTTATTCCAAAAACCTGCAGAAAATATCTTGCAGAGTGGAGAATTATGGATACATTCCCTTTCCTATAGAGGGCCCTGGCTACAACTCAAGATAAAAAAAAGGCATAGGAAAAATGAGGGACCATGTAAAAACAGATAAAATGGTCACTGCTGATGACAGAATCTTCTAGAGAATCTAACCGAAAAAAATAAGACAAGCTGTTAGAACTATAAAAGGTCAACAAGGCTTTTGTAGGTCAAGTTAATTTTCAAAACTCATCAGTTTCCCCCTCATCTTTACCAGCAACAAATAGAAAATAGAAAATTAGCATTTAATGTGTCAAGAAAAACTGCACATTCTCTAGGAACCAATTGATCAACTCATGCTCAAGACATTTACAGGACTTTAAAATTCTAGGATGAAATATAAAGTAAAATTTTAAAAAATTAAATGGTATGCTAAATTTGTGATTGAGTAGTCAGGATTCTTGTGTGGCAACATTTAATTCTAAGTTAACCAAAAAATTAAATGTAACTCCAATCAAATTTCCAGATAAACAGTTTTACAGGAACTCAATGTGCTCATTTGGAAGAATAAAGTTCTATCAGCTAAACCAGCAGTGCTTGAAGACTTATGTTATTGGTATAGAGATGAATGCACAGAAACAGCATAGAGGACTCGGAAGGGAACCCTCACATTAGGGATTTGGTCTTTAAGAGATGGGTGGGGAGTGCTGTCTCACTCTAGGTACAAAAAGGAGCTGGTTATCTACCTCACAACAGATGCACAGAGTGTCCGGGTGGGTTAGCATCCCTAATCCAAAAGGTAAGACTATAAAGCTATAGAAAAACCCAATAGAGCTGGGCATGGTGGCATAAACCTATAATCTCAGCAGCTTAGGAGGCTGAGGCAGGAGGATTGAAAGTTGGAGGCCAGCCTCAGCAACTTACTGAGGCCCTAAGAAACTCAGTGAGACCCTGTCTCAAAACAAAATGGGGGTGGATGGGGATGTGGCTCAGTGGTTAAGTGCCCAATCGAGAGAGAGAGAGAGAGAGAGAGAAGAGAACCCAAGAGTAGAATATGACTGGAACAGTGGAAGGTCCTAAGACTGTTCAAACACAAACCATAAGATGAGACACTGATGAGTTTGGAAATGTTCCTGTTCAGGAAACAGAGTTAATTGATGGCTGTTGAGGAGAAATACAGCCAATCCTCTATCCACTGGTTTCACATTCTCAGATCCACTCTCAGCTGTGGAATGAAAATATTTGAAAAAAAATGTGTCTGTATTCAACTAATTTTTCTTGTGGTTACTTCCTAAACAATAACAGCTACTTACATAGTAACTGCAACTGTTTACAACTGCCTGTGTACTCAAAACTATTTATGATATCTAGTTGACATTGTACTAGGTTTTATAAGTAATTGAGAGATGATTGGCAGCCCACAGGAGGGGGCTGTGGGTGGGTTCTGCTTTACATAGAGGACTGGAGTGTCTGCAGATGGTGCTACCTGCAGAGTCTGGTCCTGAAACTATACCCGGGGCACTGAGGGATTACTGTATCAACAATGGCTAAGTCTGATAAGGGAATAATGGCAAGAGGATATTAACATCTCAAAATCAAAGAGGATTAAGGAAAAGAGCAGGAAATAAAATAGAAAAAAGGATAAAAAGATAAGAACGGGGAATTCAAAAAAGTCAAGACAGTTGTCAGAATCATGCTGCGATGCTCAAACTTCCCACTCGTCAATAAAGCCAAGTTGAAACAATCGCCTCACTCACCAGACCGCAGGTGTTAGCCAGAGGGCACTGTGCCCTGAAACCCGTCTCCTCCCCTCCAGCTTGACAATATTTGGAGATGGGACTTTTCAGGATGTAAATAAAGTTCAATGAGGTCGTAAGGTCGACCCTCATGGGCTAGACTGGGGATCTTATAAGCAGAGGGAGAGATGCCCTGCTCTGAAGGCTGAGCCAGGAGACATGAAGGTGGTAACCATCTGCACACCCTCAAGGGAGGCTGTACCCAAATCAACCCTGCCAGCACCTTGAACTTGGCCTTCCAGTCTCCGGAACTGAGAAATAAATGTCTGCTTTCGAGCCCCTCTGCTGCGGGTCTGTGGACCTGGCAGACAGTTCCCCAACAGTGGGGAGCGGGGAACAGGTTTGCTGTTTATTACTGGAGAGAAACAGTGTCGAGCGGCACAGCTGTTCTAGAGGATTCGGTCGTCAGAATCCAGCCTACTTCTGCTTTAGGGTGCAGGCGTCTTCCTTCTGGGCCCCTGAGAGAAATTCTCCTGGGGTCCAACAGGGACGTGGACAAGGGTGTTCATCTCTGTGCAGCTGACAACAGTAGGGATCAGAGAAGCCTGAGTGTCCCCCCCTGGTGTGACCACCAGGTAAACTGAGATAGAGGAAATGGATGGACCTCTCTATGCCGCTGAGGTCACATAGATGTCACCACCGCATTCGGAGTGGAACCGCAAAAACCAGAAGGAGCTACGTGTGGCCCAACGGATTACGTCAATCAAAACGCTGCTTGCAGGGAACAGGCATATTGGAACACAGATGCTCAACACACCGGGTGCCTGCCAAGGACACCGGGGGATGGCATTGAGGCTAAGGGACAAAGGAGGAAGTACCAAAATAAAACAAGAGGGACCTTGGAGTGAGTGATTTCACGACCGGTGTGACATGCTATGAATTGACAAGTGAATAATTCAAACTCAATTTTCTATACTTGAGATTGAGGGAAATAAAAGAAAAAATTAAGTGACCCGAAGTCCCGCCCCCCCCCCCCCCACCCCACCGTGGACGGTGGGCAGAGCCCAGGGCTGAGCTTACTTCTGGCCAGGGTGGACTTGCTGTCTATGCGGGCCGTGGCCAGGCCAGCCCAAGGCTGCTCCTGCAGCGCCAAGGCCCAGGCCAGCAACGCCAGGAGGACGAGGAGCCTCCAGAGTGGCCTCATCTTGGGTTCTAGGACCTGCAGGTGTCAAGAAGGGTCAGATGGGGCCCGGGAAGATGGCTGTGCGGGTGGCCACGTGGATGGATGGGCACATGGCTTTCTGTAGGAAGATGGCCCCAGAGCTGGCCCCCAGCATGCCGTGGGGAGGTGGAGAGTGGACTCGACAGCGGCAGGCGGCTGGCTCACATGGCAAGGGTGGAACGCTGGGCAGGCCGGAGCCCCAGGGGGCTTGGTTGCCTGGAGACGCCCACCAGGGCCCACTGTTGGGTCATCTCTCCCAGACCCTGACCCAGGAGGCAGGTTGGTGACCCGTCAGTGGATGAGTGAGCGAGTGGGTGGGAGCGGCCCACTCCAGGCTGTCCAGTTTGAACTAGGTTTTTCTTAAGGGCAAGAAAAACCAACCTCTGTCCCCAGGGCCATGTTGGTTTACCAGAACAAAGAGCTAATGAATGTTTCTGAGCGCCCCAGGGCTGAGCAGAGGAGGAAACACAGTCTCAAATCCTTACCAAAGGATAGGTTTCTGGATGGGTGATGTCCCCAGCATCTCCCATGCTGGACACGTGGTAGTCCTGATGAATGCTTGTTACAGGGTACAGATGACTGGATGGATGGGTGGATGGTGGCCTCACCTTCCCATATAAGATTTATAGGAGGACAGACAAGCTCGAAGCTGAAGCATCAGGTTAACCACAGAGCCCTGGGGTGGGGAGGGGCGTCAGAGAGAATTCAGTTCAAATCCCATGTCCTATCTCAGGGATGCCAGTCTAAACTGGGCACGGTGGCCCTCCCCTGTCATCCCAGCAGCTCGGGAGGCTGAGGCAGGAGGATCACGAGTTTGAAGCCAGCTTCAGCAACATCACGGCACTAAGCAACTGAGTGAGCCCACGTGTCTAAATAAAATACAAAATAGGGCTGGGGATGTGGCTCAGTGGTCGGGTGCCCCTGGGTTCAATTCCAGGCGTGCCGCCCCCCCCTCCAAAATAAGAAATGGCAGCCCACCCAGTGTCCAGCTGCAGCCCTTAGAGGTTGCTCCTAGGTCCTCTCTTCTCAGCTCGTACAACCCACACGTCAGGAGACCCTGTCCACTCTTCCAGAACCTGATCACGTCTGACCGCTTCTTAGCCATCACTGTCTTCCTTTGAATTACTGCAAAGGGACCGTTTCCCTAGAAGCCGTCCCCAGTCCCCCGCAGCCCCTTCCCTGTGCAGCACCCAACCCTTCATGTGAGGCACAGCTGGGACCCTGCCCCTCCTCTGTCCCCGGCTTCCTGTTACGCACTGAGCAGACTCCTCTGTGCGTGGCCTCCCCCCGCAGGACCCCTGTGCCCCCCCTTCCTGTCATCTGCTCACTCCACAGCAGGCCTGGGGACCTGGGCCCCACAATCCCATGACGGAGGTGCTGAGACAAAGGCCTTTGTCACTGACCCTCTGCTTTCCACCCAACCCTGGGACATTGTGGGGGATATGGAGGGTCCCACTCAGGTAGCAGATGACAATGTCTCCTTTGAGAATTCCCCAGAGGTCCTGGCTGCGTTCCTGGGCAGTGAGCTCTGGTGTCGTAAGAGATGCGCTGGGAACAGCGGCTCGGGGTGTCGGCTTTCTGCTCTGCGAGGCCCCCCTTTCTCCAAGTTCATGCTCCGCTTGGGGATGTTTGTAGAATATCAGTTACTTCAAGTGTCCTTTCCTAACCTTCCTGGTCTTGTGCAACTGGTAAGAATTTTGTTATTTTTTTGTCAAGAAAATAGGAACAGAGTGGGCGGGCACCAGACAGAGGGACAAATCTGTTGTCCCTGACCCTTAGGATACCTTAGCCCAGGGCTGGCTGTGCTTCTTGGAGCCACAGAATCTCATGACCCAGTGACCTGGAGGGTGGGGACTCTTGGTGTTTGGTGCATGATAAGGAGGACAGAGTTGGGGGACAAAAAGGTCCCGCTCAGGAGGTGAGCCCTCGATTTGGGGCCAGGTCCATGCGGAGTCATGTGCTTTAGACTCTTGGGTCAGGTATGGGGTATGGCATTAAAAACCTTCTTAAATATGTAATTCAGCTTCCATCTCCGCCCCTTGGCAGACTTGGGGTCCAAGGATAACAGGATAACAGGATGGCCCTGCAGGCCTCGGGGGTGGGCGGGGCCGAAGGGGGATGTGCCTGCCAGTCACATTCTAAGACTGCCCTTGTCTTTGTCCCCTCTTCTCTGAAACTCAGCTTCCTCATCCAGAACCCAAGGTGGCTGGTGAAGGGTGCCCGGGTCAGAGGAACTGCAAAATGTATACAGGAGCACCTCTAGCCGGGTGCAGTGGCATACAGCTGTAATGCCGGCAGTCTGGGAGGCTAAGGCAGGAGGATCGCCAGTCCAAAGCCAGCCTCAGCTATTTAGAGAGGCCCTAAGTAACTCAGCGAGACCCTGGGTCTAAATAAAATATCAGAAAAGGGCTGGGGATGTGGCTCAGTGGTTAAGCACCTCTGGGTTCAATCTTTAGCACCCTAAAAAAGTAGCAATAATAATAATAAAATTTAAAAAAAAATAAAGGAGTCACCTCTGTTAAGACTGTCACTGTGAGAGCATGACTGGCGGGTGGCCCTGGCAGGACATTCCAATGCACAGATGGCATGGGCAGTGGAGGTGCCATGGTCCCGGGTGGTGAGCCCCGCTGTCATTCATTCACTCACCAGGAAGAGGCACTGAGACCATCCAGCACTAAATGCCTGGCGCTGCGGATGCTGGGGCCATGGGGAGAGGCCAGGCAGGGTCTCTGTCCTCAGGGGGCTCACAAACCCACGTGGTCTTCAACATGCCCACGACGGGCTGTGGCTGTGAAGGGTGGCCAGGCTGATTCAAGGGAAAGACGGCGTGTTGACAAATGACGCAGCGGCCGCTGCTCCCAGAGAGTGGGGACGCTTGGCCCTTTCTATTTTTTTTTAATTTTTTTTTTAGACTTTGGTGGACATTTATCTTGTCCATTTATTTACATTCATTTACATGAGTTCGATTCTCAGCCCTGCTTGGCCCTTTCTGAGCTGCTGGAGAATGGGTGCTTCTCCCTGGGGCTCATTCCCTGGGCTAAGCCTGCTCTTTGCAGGATCCACTTCACCCACATGCCACACAGTGAGGGGACAGGGACAGCTCCCTAAGCTCTCAGCCAGGCTCAGGTCCACTGGCATTCGGCAGCCTCTCTTGCCCTCCCAGAACCCTCCAGGTTGTCATTTCCTGTGGACACGGGAGCTCGGGACACTAGCAGACCCCGCGCGTGAGCACATTGTTCCTAGCCTTCATCTCAGGCCCTGCAAGCCTGCTCTGTCCAGATGCACTTCCGCTTGTAGTCCACGTGGGGTCTACGAGGGTCCTCCCTGGGATAGCCTGGGAGGTACCAGGGCTCCGGAGTCATCCACGCGGCAGAGCCGCCCGCTCCCTCCACGACCACACGGGGGCAGCCGCAGCGCCGGAGCTGGAGCGCTGGCTTAGCCTCTCAGGGAGGACGGGGGAGGCCAAGTCATTAACAATGACCAGCCATTCAGAGCCTCACCCGCCTTCAGCTTCAGCCAGGAGGAAAGAGGAAGTGTCCGCCAGTCACCCTGAAGATGGCACCGACCTGAGCGATTATTAATTTCTTCCTTCAAACAACTTGGCTTCTCCTCCGCTGCCCATTTCCTCTCTCCAAGGGACCGAGTTTTCTTTCTCTCCTTGTCCCTCTTCTTCTTTTATTAATTTTCTTTGGCAGGTGTCACTCAAAATTGTTCATCCTGCTTCACCTGCTCCTAAATTCTCATGGCAGCTAAGTTCCTCCATTTGGATCTGCCTCTGGGAATCGGGAGGCTATTCTTGGGGGAGGATTGTGTGGCTCTGGGAGTGACATTCCCCAACCGGGGGGGGGGGGGGGGGGACATTCATTGCCCAGGGAGTCAACAGTCTTACTGAGCAAAGCCGGCCAAACCTCCCACCTTTGCTGACTCGTAGCCCTGCCAGCCGAGGGGCAGTGCCGGGTAAAGGAATTCTAAGATGATTTCAACGGAGGCCAAGTGATGAGTACCCAGTCCGGAAGAGGAATTAAATGAGAAATGACATGGGGCCTGGAGGGTGGGAGCAGGGCCCCCCAGATGGGCTGGCCTGGATCCCCTCTCAAAGCTGAAGCTTGGAGGTCTGTAAGAGCCACAGGAGGCAAGGGCTGTGGACGTCCCAGGTGGTGTCTAGCCTGAGGCTGGAATGTTGAGGGAAGGACCAGGAAGTCAGTGAACCCAGAGCAAGAGAGAAGGGGGAAGAGCAGCGGGGCAGGGGCTCAAGTCTGCGCATGGGGACAGATCTGATGTGTCCTCGCAGGCCACGGTGAGGCCCTGAATGTTATTCAAGGACTGACACAGGTTTGAATTCTGATTCTACTGATTCTTACTGATGTGGCTTGGGCACATCCCCTCTACTCTCTAACCCTCAGTTTTCTTTTCTAATATCTCAAATGGAAGCCCAGAGTGACTTGAGGATTCAAGATCTTAGCTTTGTTTGAATTCTCCCAGATATTCCTGTTCCAAGTCTCAGAACCCATATCCTCCCCATCAATGCCTTAACTTTTATTTTATTTATATTTGATACCAGGGATTGAATCCGGGGGTACTTAACCATTGAACTACACCCCCACCTCTTTTTAGTTTTTATTTTGAGCCAGGGTCTCACTTTGTTGCTTAGGGCCTTGCTAAGTTGTTGAGGCTGGCTTTGAACTCGCAATCCTCCTGCCTCAGCCTCCCGAGCTGCTGGGATGACAGGCATGCGCTGCTATGCCTATGGATGCCTTAACTTTTTAAGAGCAACTTGGTGAGGCTTTGGGTGTAAGTTACATTGTGATTATGTAACTCAGTTCTGATTTTCGGGGAGATCAGCCTTGCAACTGCAAGAAAGAGATGCCTCTTTGATTATCACTAGAGAAGTACTCTGGTTATTTTGTTGCCACTCAGACTCACCCATTGCTTCTGTAAGAACTTCCAGTTCACCAGAAGCAGCCACCCTAGTCCTTGTGGAC